GGGGGGGGGGGGGGGGGGGGGGGGGGGGGTCGACCTAAGATATGCAACTTCAGCTACGTGAATAGCGTAGCTGAAGTGGCGTATTTTATGTCGACTTACCTGGCTGTGAGGACGGCGGCGAGTCGACCACAGCCGCGCCGCTGTTGACTCCACTTCTGCCTCTTGCCGCGGTGGATTTCCAGAGTCGACAGAAGAGCCATCGGGGATCGATTTTATCGCGTCTTCACTAGACGCTATAAGTCGATCCCCAATAGATCGATTGCTACCTGCCGATTCGGCGGGTAGTGAAGACATGCCCTAAGTCTAAGAGACTTCCTGGTTAGGAATCAGGAGTTGTTCTCCTAGTCCAACAAAGATATAGATTGTACTGCCCTGGTCAAACAAAAGATTGATACTGAGGGAACTGACCCATTAAACAGCCACCCCATTATCTACCCATAGGAAAAATGAAAGAAGCACAATAAATCCTTGAAGAAATGTCTCTGGAAGGCCTAACTGAGCCTTCAAACAGCCCTTGGGCCTCACCCATAGTTCTGGTTAAGAAAAAGGACAGCAGCACCAGAGTCTGTGTGGACTATAGAAAATCAAATGAAGTCAGTTTAAAGGATTCTTATCTGTTATCACAAATAGATGGTACCCTAGCTTCTGTAGCAGGTTCAATCTGGTTTTCCACACTGGATCTTAGGGTATGTCTACACAATTGATCCAGCGGGGGTTGATTTATCATGTCTAGTCTAGACACGATAAATCAACCCCCGAGCGCTCTCCCGTCGACTCCTGTGAGAGGTGCAGGTGGAGTCGACGGGGGAGCGGCAGCGGTCGACTCACCGCAGTGAAGACACCGCAGTGAGTAGGTCTAAGTATGTCGACTTCAGCTACGTTATTCACGTAGCTGAAGTTGCTTAACTTAGATCGATTCTTGCGCTTACCCCCCCCCACCCCAGTGTAGACAAGGCCTTAGAAATGGGTATTGGCAAGTGGAAGTGTATCCAAAAGACAGATAAAAACTGCTGTTACAGCAGGACAAGACTTGTGGTAATTTAAAGTGCTGGCTTTTGGCTTGTGCAATGCACGAGATACATTTGAGAGAGTAATGGAGAGGGTGACATACCCCGCTCAGCCTGGCAGTTATGCCTACAGGATATCCTGGTACATGCTAAAACATTTGAGCAGGAAGTAACACATTTACAAATGGTCTGTGATAAGCTGAAGCTGGCCAATTTGAAACTGTCACAAGGTGGCTGGCCCCTGTAAATGAAGCAGGTCCAGCTCCCCTGTGCCAAAACCGGTGGCCAATTAAGAGGGTGGATCAGCTCCCCGGGGTTATAAAAGCATGTCTACACAGCATTTTGGAGTGAGTCTCCCAGCCTAGGTCAACAGATTCAAGTTTGTGGGGTTCATCCTCACGCTCCAAAAATAGTTGTACAGACAGTGCTCTGAAATTGCAACTCAGGCTGGAGCTGGGGCTCTGAAGCCTAGGGAGGGAAGTGGGCTTCAAAGCCCGAGCTGCAGCTTCAAAGCACTGCCTATAATGCTACTTTTAGAGAGCCAGCACAAGTCCCGCTAGGCTGATCTTTTTATACATACAAAATAATGGGATCTAAATTAGCTGTTACTATTGATGAAAGAAATTGGAGTCATTGTGGATAGTTCTCTGAAAACATCTGCTCAATGTGCAGCGGCAGTCAAAAAAGTGAACCGGATGTTAGGAACCATTAGGAAAAGGATAGATAACAAGACAGAAAATACCATGCCTCTATATAAAGTCATGGTACGCCCACATCTTGAATGCTGCATGCAGATCTGGTCCCCCGTCTCAAAATAGATATATTAGAATTGGGAAAGGTACAGAAAAGGGCAACAAAAATTATTAAAGGTATGGAACAGCTTCCATATGAGGAGAGATTAAAATGACTGGGACTGGTCAGCTTGGAAAAGAGACGACTAAGGGGGCATATGATAGAGGTCTATATAATCATGACTGGCGTAGAGAAAGTGAATAAGAAAGTGTAATTTACCTTCACATAACACAAGAAGCAGGGGGTCACCCAATGAAATGAATAGACAGCAGGTTTAAAACAAACAAAAGGAAGTACTTCTTCACACAATGCACAGTCAACCCGTGGAACTCATTGCCAGGGGATGTTGTGAAGGCCACAACTATAATTGGGTTCAAAAAAGAATTAAATAAGTTTATGGAGGATAGACCTATCCATGGCTATTAGCCAAGATGGTCAGAGATGTAACTCCATACTCTGAGCGTCCCTAAACCTTTGACTGCCAGAAGCTGGGACTGGACAACAGGGGATGTATCACTCAATGAATGCCTGTTCTATTCATTTGAAACATCTGGCATTGGCTACTGTCAGAAGACAGGATACTGGGGTAGATGGACCATTGGTCTGACCCAGTATGGCTGTTCTTATGATGCTTGCTCCAAAGTGCTGTGTTGACATACCCAAAAGATCAAGGCACCTGGGTTCTAGAGAGAAGAGGGAGCCAGTAAGAGGGAGACTCAGAGAGTCCTGGTGAGAATCAATCAGGAGACTGGTGAGGATCTCTGGGGAAAGCTGTAGAGAGCAGAAAACTTTGTGTTGGCCCTCCTTGGGAAGAGGGAGGAATTGGCTATGAGACTTTATGGGACCTGGAAGAAGGCTGAAGGCAGGAGAGCATCTAGAGGGAGCTGTCTGGTGGCGCTAAGTTGGGGAGCTGGAACCAAGGGCTGAAGGCGGGGGAGCAGTGGAGGAGCTTACCTACTGACATCTCCAGGGCCGGAGAGCTGGATCCAGAGGAGTTGTGGGAGAGCCAGAGGGAGTGAGGGATGCTCCCCTGGCAAGGATGGCCCCAGCAGAGAGGCTGTGGAGGTTCCCCCAGGAAGAGCCGGTTGCACTCCAGCTGGAAGAGCTACAGAGACTATGCTGGTAAAAGGACAGGAGAGGACTGTGTTGGAGAGCCAGGGCATGGTGAGGGAAGCCAGGACTGCGCTGGAGAGCTGGGATGTGGTGAGGGATGGCAGGGATGTATGTTGACTGTACTTGTGGGACTATGCTGGGGGATTTTTACTCCTGGGGGAACTCTGCTCCCCTGCAGGGATGCAGAATTCATATCTTCTGCAGATTTCTTGGCTCCCCTGCAGAAAAATGGGGGTAGGGGACCATACAGCAAGTGTGAAAAATTGGGACGGGGGTGGGGAGTAATAGGAGCCTATATAAGAAAAAGACCCAAAAATCAGGACTGTCCCTATAAAATTGGGACATCTGGTCACCCTAAATGGGGGAGCCAAGAAATCTGTGGGGAACACACGCCCCTTCTCCGGCAGCTCGGGCACGTCTGCTGTGAGCAGCCAGCAGCAGAGAGCAGATCACTACGGGGTGGGTCGGGGGGGGGGGAGGGTGGAGGCTGGGCATGCGTGCCTGTGTGCGAACGGGTGAGAGAGACTCACTCTGTCCCTGTCCCTCTCGCTGCATCCCGGGCTTGGAGGCGTAGGGCTGTGTGAAGCAGGCTCTGTCCCTGAGGCCAAGCAGAAATGTAACAGCTAAGCAGGCAGGCTGCTGATGTTCCCATTGTTAGTTAATTGTTCCCATTCTTAGTCAAGTAAGGCTCCTTTCCCTTGCCAGGGTGGTGTAAAGAAGCCTTATTGTAAATGACAGTACAGGCAAGTCTCATCTTACGCTGGGGTTACGTTCCACTGTCAGCACGTAAAGTGAAAATTGCGTATAGTCAAAATTACATTGAGTGGAATGGCGGGCGGAGTCGCCAGCACTACAGGTACAGTATTTACATTGTTATTTTTCTCTTTTTGGGGTGGGTTTTTTTTTTTGGTTTTGCTGAACGCGCAAAGCTGAATTCGCGCATGTTAAATGCACATAAGATGAGACTCGCCTGTAACAGAATCCTCAGCTAGGAAGGTCTGTGAGCTTTCTCGCTTTTTTCCCTGTGCCAGAGAGGCACAATGGGATTAGATGACAGCTCAAGATCTAATTTACTTATCCATTTAAAAAAAAAATTCAGGATAATGATTAGCAAAACTGTATGACTTTCATGTGTGAAAGTCTGAGCAATTTAAAGTGGCATTCTACTTTACAAAACACCAAAATAAAAGTGATGTAATTTACATGAAAATCCGGGATTATAACTGGAATGCAGGGTATTGGTTACCAAGTATTTGTAACTTAACTTTCATGTATTTAGAAAATGCTGAACAGTTATTGTGGTTTTTTTTCTTTATGGTACACCTCTACCCTGATATAACGTGACCCGATATAACACAAATTCAGATATAACGCAGTAAAGCAGCGCTCTGGGGGGCGGGACTGCACACTCCAGTGGATCAAAGCAAGTTTGATATAACGCGGTTTCACCTATAACGCAGTAAGATTTTTTGGCTCCCAAGGACAGCGTTATATAGGGGTAGAGGTGTAGTTTAAATAAATTACCAAAATAAGTGAAACTGGTGTGATTATATTGCATTATTTTGACAAAATATGCAGAATTTTGGATTTTTTAGCGCAGAATTCCCCCAGGACTAGATTTTGGACAAAAGTTGTGGGACTTTTGTGATATTTATGTGCACGGGACTTTTGTAATAAATGAACCCCACCACGGCTGTTTGCCCTCAGAAAGGCTTTGTGGACTATTCCTGGGGATTCTGAAGGAGGGAAACTGAGGCAGGTATGTGTCATGCTGTGGCCTGCAGCAGGAGAGCTCTCATGTGGGGCCGCCAATGGCAGAAACTGAGCCAAAAGAAATGCTAGGGAAAATGTGAGGCCAGCCTCTGACAAAATGAAAAGTCTGTATGATCATATGGGGAAACTTTTAAAAGAGGGCGCCTGGACTGATCCCACAGTCTTAGACAAAAGATGATAGGAGCCCTAAACTGGATAAACCTTGGGAGGGACCCTATACAATACTGACACAAAGAAATGAAGGATAGGATACAGTGGGGTCCCAGGACTAAACCCAACCTTATCCATAAGGACCATTTGTAAAGATATCAGGGGGACAGAATTTCAATTTGGCTGCCCCCTGTATCTGAGGCTATGTCTACACTACCGTCTATGTCGGCAAAATGTATGTCGCTCAGGGTGTGAATAAACCACCCCTCTGAGCAACATCAGTTACACTGATATAAGCGCTAGTGTGCACAGTGCTGTCAGCAGGAGAGCTTCTCCCACCGACATAGCTTCTACTGCTCGCAGGGGTGGTTATTTTACACCAACGGGGGAGTTCTCTCCTGTCGGCATAAAGCGTCTTTACCAGATGTGCTGCAGCTGTATTGGGGCAGCTGTGCCATTGCAGCACTGTACATGTAGACATGGCCTGACAATGTATCTGTGGAAGCTGAGGCTGCAAAAGTTGGTATAGAGGTGTATTCCCCATTAGAACAAAATGGGTAGGGTCTGAGTCAGCCAGCAAATTCCACAGAAACAATAGATGCACCTCAGGAGCACACTGGATGGAAATCCAGTGAGCGAAAAGCCCCAATGAGATTTGGGTGGAAATAAAGTTATTTTGGGTTGGTGATATGAAAACATCTTAACAGAAAGCCACTGTATATATGTCAGTAGCTTGTATCACTTTAAATTTGTGAAACTATTTTTTTTCCCTTTCTGCCTGGGTTGGGTTAGTGGTTGCCACCATTTTAGGTCTCATCAGGACCATGAGTAAAGCTGAGGTGGGGGGGTGTTATGAGTTGGGCGGAACCTCCTTATGGGCTGAGCTAAGCCCCACCTAAAACAAAAGTGTGTGAACCTGCCCTGGAGCTTTTGGCTGAGTATTGTTTAGGATAGGTGTCAGGGGAGGGGGAGGCAGAACAGGAAAACTGGGAAACAGCCTAAAGCAGCAGCTGAAAGCACAGAAGCTGACCCTGGAAGAAACCTGAGGAGAGGTTTTTGCATGAGAGGAGCAGGTTGAAAAGACTGCTCTTGGTGCTGAGAACAAAAGAAGCTGTTTCCTACTATTTGATTCCTTCTGCATTCAGTGATATGGGACTTTGTACATTCTGTGTAAATAAACAAAACTGCATCAAATTAAGTACCAGATTCCATCAATTTTTGCTTCCAGCTGGAACATCACCAGGGCCCCCAAACTTTCAGTAGCTGCTCGGGTCAAAAAGGGGCAACAATATGTTAGGATTAATGGTCATTTTTTGCCATTATTCTTCACAAATGAAAGTTTCTTCTTCTGAAGAATAGTGTGCTACAGAAAATTCCATGAAGAACTATCCTCTTTCAAAATGGCTGCCATCTCCCATTATTCTCAATATAAATAAAACTGCCCTTAGCAAAGATGCGCTCTTCAAAATGGCTACTGTTTCCAATTTATTTCCAAACGGGAATGAAGCCAAGCTGCTCTCAGGGAAGATGGTAGCCCCTGACAGCATAATCAACCACTTTCTTCCCAGAGGGCAGATTGGTTTCACTCCCACAGTGAGATAGTGGCTATTTTGGAATAGGGGACCTTAGCTATTAGTAGACTGTAGCCTTACCCCCATATATTGAGAGCTCTAGAATCTGGAAATCTGGCCAGAACTTCTGGCTGCTTTGTGCTGTTCCAGAAAGGTGCAAAATGGCCAGAATGTACCGATGTATCTGGCTGTAAAAGTTAATATAAAAATATTTGAGGTTGCTACTTCATAGGTAATGTCTTTGGATTTTTCATTTCATATATGAAATTTTCAATAATTAAAAAAATGTACAAGGAACATAATTTAAAAACATACAGATAAAATCTATGCTAAACAAGATTTAAGGTTGAGAGTACATATCAGTATTTTACGGGTAAAATCATTACAGGAATGTTATAATTATCCCAAAACCAAGCATTACAAACCTAGGGAATTCAGAGTTATGGTTAAAGATAAAAGACATACAAATATGTTAAGGTATGGAAAAGTCATTTTAGGCACCCAAACAACCTTAACTCAGCCATAGAATGAGACCATAAAGAAAGAAAAACCCTACTATGTCTTTAAAAATTAACTTAATCTAATCTGGGACTACAAATGCTAAAAAGCATTTATTATCATTGTATGTTAATTGCATGGCATCACTAAAGGGCAAAGTTAAGGTTTTCTTTTAAGTTTAACTTCAACTCTGCACTTCCTTGATTTGCAATGCTTTTGGGGGGAATAAGGAGAACATCCTTATAATGGTTTTACCCTTAAATAACTCAACCTTAATTTTTATTTGGGAACTGTTGAATGGCCTCAATGGTGGTGTACAATATAGACTATCATGCAGACTTTTTGCTGATGTACTGTAACTGCCATAAAGGGGTATCTGGAGCAGGCCTAAGTCTCCATAATTGATTATCAGGGTTATGGATCACTGAAGTCTGCAGTATTATCTGCTTTTCTGAAGGTAATTCCTGTATTCCTTATGTCTAAAGTTTTGGGAGCAAAGTAGAACCACTTCCAAAGTGAGTTGCCCATTAAATCTTTTTTGAATTTCACAACATTTTTAGTATATTTCTGTTCACAATTGTAAATCTTGCCAGGGTTTCTCATAAAAATTTGCAGTTTGAGATATTTGGAGCTAGAATAGAAACAGACATATTCCAGGCTCAAAAGTACTACTAACAGTGGCTCTGTCTCTAACTACTACAAATAATAATTATCACAGAAAAACTCAAAAATACAGTCCAGGTGGACTTCATTCAGCCAACTTCCTTTCTGAATACAGAGGGTCAGCTCTAGGGCACCAATGTGGGAATGACGCACATGGAGAAAGTTGGGAAAAAAGCAGAGGCCGTTGGAATCACAAAAACTCCACACTGTTTTTTCTACTGGTAATCCTAATACAGTGTGCAAAACCTGGCACCCCTAATTATTGGTACTGTCAGCGGCCCCACTTTCCATGGGTGAACTGGCACTTGCAGTCCAACGGTAAAAGCATGCAGAAACACGAGTGATAAAATAATACAGGTTAAAAATTCAACTTTCCATGTTTATGACAGCAGGTTTCACTTTCACTGAGAATGCCTCATTTGTATTTTCTTTTTAGGGTCATTAGCTGTCCCTTGAGAGTCTTTGTAAAGGTCCAAATTTCAAATAAACAGAACACTATAAGACAGGTATGTAAAGCTAATTTTTGGTGTATTTGGCTAAAATATGGGTACTAAGCTAATAGGTAAACATAAAAGTATGCCATTTAAAACAATGCATTCCCATTAGTGTTTGAATATGTGCCTATACTCCATGTACACTTTTACATGGTTATGTCATTTCCTGTGTAAAATGTGCTTGTTTATACAGCAGCCGTATGAAAGATGCAGTAACCCGCTATGTAGGCTATTTGAAGCTGTCTTTAAGAAACATAAAAACCCCTTGACCCTTGTATAATAAAAGGTGTTAAAAGATACTGCTTTTACAACATCTTAGCCAAGCCTAATAAGAATGTACAAACCAAACAAAAAATCCGTAGTCATGGTCAATCACATGTTATTTTATGAATTACTATTGCTGTTGGGTAATAAAATGGTATTTTTAAAAGACAGACACAAAATTACACCAGATTTCACTGCTTCTCAACAACTTCTAATAAAGAGGGAAATCTGAATTTATTTTTGGAAGACAAATATCTATAGTAAATGCCCTTTGCTGCGTGCTTAGAACAGCCAATTTATTCTAGAAATTATCTAAAATTCATTTATGCATTTATCATTTTGTCTGGAATTATCCCCTTGTCCCCTGAAACCTAAGAATCATACTAACTGCAGTGATAAGGGCTGAGCTGATCAAGAGAAAAGCTCCCAGACACTGGGCTCAGACAGAATCTACACCTTGACCAAAGAGCTATCCAAAAAGGAGGAGGAGACTGCATAGGCAGCATCAACCGACAGACTGTGTTAGGAGAGCAACTATTTGCTGAAATCTATTACTGCAAAGTCCTAATGGAGAAGATTCACCTTCCTGTGACTCAGCTGTCCAGCAAAATGATCAACAATAATAATGAGGTGACCCTCTGTCTCTAGGAACCTGAAAATGTCCTTGTTTATCAGGCCTGTCCAGATGTCCCTTTTGGTATGACACAAAATGTCATGTCCCAGATTTTGCCAGGCCTGCAGACTCTGGTGCCCTGGGTGAAGCTGCTGTCTAGAGGAGCTGGTGACATTGACAACAGGGGGTTGCCATCTTTCCAATTTCTGAAGACTGGACACCTCTGCTCTGCCTCCTCCACCTGTAGCCCCACCCTCTGCACCACCACCCTCCCCCAGGGTCCCACCCTCCACTCACTCTCCCCACTCCCTGCACCCAGCCCAGGGACCACAGCACTCTCCCCACCTACCAGTTACCTTTGGTTGGGGGGAGGCTCTCTCCATAAGCCACTCACACAAGTCTGTGGAGGAGCTAGGAATAGAAGCCAAGAGTCCTGACTTCCAGCCCTCACTGCTCTAAGCACTAGCCCCCACTCCCTTCCCAGAGCCAGGGAGAGAACCCAGGAGTCCTGAGTCCCAGCTCCCCTCTCCCAGCTCCTCCAGGCCCCCAACACGGAGGCAGGAGACCATCCCAAACATGCCCAGGTGTCCCCTGCCCATCTGAGTCCGTGGAACTGGGGCAGAGGGCTGCTCACTTCCATCTAGGGAACTTGCCCCATTGTTTGTAGCCACCCCCACACCCTTGGCAGCCACGACCCGCTTGTGCTGGCTGGCTCCAGAAAACTTACATGGAAATATTAGGGTTACCATAATCCAGCAATCAAAAAAGAGGACGGGAGGAGCCCCGCCCCTGTTCTGCCCTAGCCCCGCCCCTTCCCCTCCCACTTCCCCCCCTCAGAACCACCAACCCTCCCCCCACTCCTTGTCCCCTGACTGCCACCTCCTGGGACCCCTGCCCCTAACTGCCCCCCAGGACTCCACCCCCTATTTATGTACAGGCGTGACTACCTGTCCTTTCCTGGTTACTATACGCGGCCAGTCCGCATCCACATCCAGTAGTTAAAATAAATAAATAAATAAACT